GAGACGGGGTTTCACCATGTTGACCAGGATGGTCTCGATCTCTTGACCTCGTGATCCACCCGCCTCGGCCTCCCAAAGTGCTGGGATTACAGGCTTGAGCCACCACGCCCGGCCCTCAATTTATTAGGTTTTTAAAAAGGAAATTGTATCTCTTGGTTGAGTGCGGTGGCTAATGCCTGTAATCCCAGCACTTTCAGAGACTGAGGTGGGTGGATCACTTGAGGTCCGGAGTTTGAGACCAGCCTGACCAACATGATGAAACCCTGTCTCTACTAAAAATACAAAATTAGCTGCAAGTGGTGGTACACGCCTGTAATCCTGGCTACTCAAGAGGCTGAGGCAGGAGAATTGCTTGAACCTGGGAGACAAAGGTTGCAGTGAGCCGAGATCACACTATTGCACTCCAGCTTGGGTGACAAAAAAGAAAAAAAAATTAAATATGCATATTGTAATCACTAGAGACTTCACTAAAAAAAAAACTATACAAAGATATATACTTCTTTCCTTTTTTTGATATGGAGCTTCACTCTTGTTGCCCTGGTTGGAGTGCAATGGTGTGATCTCGGCCCACTGCAACCTCTGTCTTCCAGGTTCAAGCAATTCTCCTGCTTCACCCTCCTGAATAGCCAGGATTACAGGCGTGTGCCACCACGTGGGGCTAATTTTGTACTTTTAGTAGAGACGGGGTTTCATCACGTTGGTTAAATTGGTCTTAAACTCGTCACCTCAGGTGATCCACCCACCTCGGCCTCCCAAAGTGCTGGGATTACAGGCATAAGCCACCATGCCTGGCCATTTTTTGTATTTTTAGTAGAGACAGGATTTCGCCAGGTTAGTCTCAAACTCCTGAGCTCAAATGATTCATCCACCTCACGTCTCCCAAAGTGCTAGGACTAAAGGTGTGGGCCACCGCACCTGGCCTCCAGCCATATTTTAAAGATAAAATATGTGTGCAATCTCTATTACTATCATTAATTCCCAAAGTTCCAGCTTTCCCTCTAGTATCATTTCCCTTCTACCAAGAGTTTCTTTTAGCATTTCTTTTCAAGCAGGCTTGCTGGCAAGAGGTATATATATCTTAGGTTTGCTTCACTTGAGAATGTTTGTATTTTGCCTTTGTTCTTGAAGTGTTTGCAATGGATATAGAATTATGGGTTGAGTGTTTTTCACTTCAAAATGTTCTTTTTCGAGATGGAGTTTTGCTCTTGTTGCCCGGGCTGGAGTGCAATGGCGCAATCTCAGCTCCCTGCAACCTCCACCTCCTGGGTTCAAGCGATTCTCCTACCTTAGCCTCCCAAGTAGCTGGGATTGCAGGCATGTGCCACCACGCCTGGCTAATTTTTTGTATAAAATGTTGTTTCTTTGCCTTCTAGCCTCGACAATTTCTGAGAAGCTGCCGTGATCTTTTGTGTTATCCCCCTAATGTAATGCATAATTTTTCTCAGACTGTTTGCTCAGAATTTTAGATTTTAGCAGAACATGATGTGTCTGGGCATGGATTATGGTTTTTTGGAGTTCATTGTTTTTGAACTTGTAAAAAATTTGTTATAAATAAGAGTTTCACTTATTGCCCAGGCTAGAGTGCAATGGCGCAATCTCGGCTCAGTGCAGCCTCTGCCTCCCAGGTTCAAGCAATTCTCCTGCCTCAGCCTACCAAGTAGCTGGAATTACAGGCCCGGTTAATTTTTGTATTTTTAGTAGAGACAGGTTTTCACCATGTTGATCAGGCTGGTCTCCAATTCCTGACTTTGTGATCCACCAAAAGTGCTGGGATTACAGGCATAAGCCTCTGCGCCATATCATTTCTAAAGAACATATGGCTGGACCAAAAATGAATTCAATTCGTTGGAATTGGTCTTTACACTTGGTTTGCTGAGTACAGTAATGTTTATTGAAATTGCTGACATACTTGGATGTGCTGTCACATCCCGGTGCTTGCAGTTCCTGGCAGTGTGACTTTGGCTAGTCAGTTGTATTTGCCATGTCACTTCCTCCTCTACAAAATGGGGATGGTTGTGTGAGGATTAAGTGAGATGTATATAAATTATTTGGTAGACTGACCAGCAAACATAGACTCTCAGTAGATTCCCTTTTTTCTCCCTGTTCTCCTCCCCTTTTAAACAGACATGGACAGACACGTCTCACAACCAAATGAAGATGCTCAGAGCATCAAGGGGATGGAGCTTCAGTTCTTGTGACAGAGACTGAGCAAGTGGCAGGCAGAGAGGTGCTGATGATTGCTGCAAGTCACAGCCAGTGTCCAGGGCCAGGCTGTGGGTCTGGAACTACACAAGGTGGGTCTTGTCCCAGGTTTACAGATGAGGTCATAGAGGTTCAGGAAAGTCACTTAATCTTAGGTCCCTAAAGTAGCCACAGGAAGGAGTGAGGCTTTGCAGCCTGACTTCAGGCCCATGCCTATTCTGTTCACTGAAGCCTGTGCAGTCATTTCACTGGGAATGTGCATCTCTCCTGAGTTTTCCCCTAAGCCTGTCACCCCGCTCTGTCTCTCAATCTCTGCCACACGATATGTGGCAGTCTCTGCCTGTGTCTGGGACTCCCTCAGAGATACTTCCGCAAGGTCTCTGTCTCCCTGAGTCTTGCCTTCATGTTACGAACCTCTCCTACCAGTCTTTGTGACTCTATTTACTCTTGACATAGAGGGAATGAGCCCCAAACACAGGGAGAGATGGTGACGGTAACTACTACACAATGCGGCAGGTCAAATGGTTCACATGACACCATCACAGAAACAGGGGCATGAAGAATGACACCCTTCTAACAGGAATGAATAGAAGCTGCTACATCCAGTTATAGACATGGACCCTAAAAATGGGACAAGGATGCAGAACTGTGAGAGAAGGCCAGACAGCACATGGACAGAGTGCTGGCAAATACTAACTCCATGACACCAGGGGGATCTGGGGCCCTAGAAAGAGAAGACTGAGTACAGTAACATTTTATTGAGACCACCGCATGCCAGGCTTATCTGGGTACTGGCCCCCAGGAAAATCAGATTGTTCTTACTCTGCAGGGTTCAAGCTGCTGGGGAGACATCCATAAAAACATACGTAAGGACAATGTGGGGCAGAGCATGGTGAGTACCTCCTGGAAGGCACCAGTCACGTTCATGCAAGAGATATCAGTCAAGGCCTGTCGAGTCTTGTGTGTTGTAGATTCTGAGAGTAAGACATGGTCCCTGCTCTCAGGAGCTCATAGTATCCTTGGAAAAAAACATACCATAAGCTCTACAAGGAGCAAATACGTGAAACAACGTGGTAGGAGGTGTAAGAAAGGTAACTAGGAGGCCGGGCGCGGTGGCTCACCCTGTAATCCCAGCACTTTGGGAGGCCGAGGCGGGTGGATCACGAGGTCAAGAGATCGAGACCATCCTGGTCAACACGGTGAAACCCCGTCTCTACTAAAAATACAAAAAATTAGCTGGGCATGGTGGCGCGTGCCTGTAATCCCAGCTACTCAGGAGGCTGAGGCAGGAGAATTGCCTGAACCCAGGAGGCGGAGGTTGCGGTGAGCCGAGATCGTGCCATTGCACTCCAGCCTGGGTAACAAAAGCGAAACTCCGTCTCAAAAAAAAAAAAAGTAACTAGGAGGTGCTCTGGAAGCAGAGAGGGCAAGCTGCAGTCTGCTCCAGGAGATCAGGGAGGATTCTTTGGGAGACATTTGAAACATCTTAGATAAAAAAGGAGAGGAGGATTCCAGGCACAAGTACAAAGGCACATAGGTGGGGAAAATGTATGGTTCCTTCGGGAACCACAGTAGTTCCATGGGGCTGGTGTATGGAAGGTGGAGCCATGGTATGAGATGAGGCCATTTTACATCACTGTGCACACAGAAAAGTGACAATATTCATAAACGAATATGAGGATAACTGGAAAGGTTGCTCAGGGCCCAGAACGGCCTATCTCAGCATACTTAAACTCTGTTCAGGAAGCTCTCCTGTAGAAGGTGATGGATTAGAGAGCTTTCCACCATGGAGCGACACAATCAGATTTGGGTAATAGCAGTCTCCTGGAGAGTGACAGAGGGGCAGAGAACAAAGGCAGGAAGGGTTAAGGAAGGAGACTCCTGCTATAATCCAGGCAAGAGGCAATGAGGGCTCACATAAGGTAATAGTAGTGGAAAAGGAGATGAATTAGAGATGAGCTTTAGGTTAAACCAGCAGGGCTGGTGACTAGTGGGATATGGAAGGACAAGGAGAGAGAGAGACATGCTGGGCAGGTGTGAAGCAGCACTACTGATGAAAACAGGAAACCATGAGAGAGGCAGAGGGTGTGGAGAAGGCATCACAGAAGAGGTGGCCTCACAAGTCAGCCTTGGAGTCAGGCACAAAATAGGCTGGAGTGGAAACAGTAGGTGCCAAGGCACAGAGGTGGGCACGGCAGGTGTCCCTTCTGGGCTACGCAGCAGAAAAGCAGGCAAGAAGAGTCACATGAGAACAAGCTACAGTCGGCCTGGCCAGAGCATCTTGGGATGGAGTTCTGAGAGACATGAGTCTCCACTTGCCCTGGCCCTCAGAACCAGTCTCAATCCTTGGCTCAGCTGCCATCTCTCTGGGACAGCCTTGAGTGGGAAATGGAGGGTAGCAGGGCAGGGCCCTGCTGGAAGCTTCTCCAGCTGGCCTGAATCGCTTTGTGCTCATGGGGATCCTCAAATACAGAGTCGTTCCTAGACGCCAGAGTCTGCCCTCAGGCACCTCTCATTTCCGCAGCTCATCAATTGCCCACCCTGTTTGTTGCTCTTTAGGAACTCAGCATTTCTCTTAGATGTTGAGCCTCAAGAAGAGGCTGTGCTACGGCCCCAGGGGCTACTTCCAGTCACTGCAGTACCGTGATGTGGATCCGCAGGTGAACCATAAGGGCTGAGCTGCGGCTAAAGGCTTTTCCACAGTCACTGCACTTGTAAGGCTTCTCTCCTGTGTGGATCCTCTGGTGCTCAATGAGAGAGGAGCTCTGTGCAAAGGCCTTTGGACAAACCTTACACTGATACGGCTTCTCTCCAGAATGGATTCTCAGATGTCGGATCAGGGCTGAGCAGTCACTGAAGGCTCTCCCACACGCGTCACACTTGTAGGGCTTCTCCCCGGTGTGGATGCGCTGGTGCTGGGTCAGGTGCGTGCTCTGGCTGAAGGCCTTCCCGCACTCGTCACACTCGTAGGGCCGCTCCCCGGTGTGCACCCGCTGGTGCTGGGTCAAGTGGGTGCTGCGGCTGAAGGTTTTACCACATTCCCCACACTTGTAGGGTTTCTCTCCAGTATGAATCCTTTGGTGCTGAGTCAGGTGGGTGACTCGGCTGAAGGCCTTCCCACAGTCCTTACACTCATGTGGCTTCGCCCCTGTGTGGACAACCTGGTGCTGGGCGAGGTGAGTGCTCCGGCTGAAGGCTTTCCCACACTCGATGCAGGCATATGGTGTCTTCCGAGAATGGGTCTTCTGGTGTGCCTTGAGTGCTGAAGCACTCTGGAACATTTTCCTACACTCATGACACTTGGAGGACTTCTTCCCTGAGTATGTATGTGGAGGCTGTGTCCCATAAGCATCCACCAGATCAAATTTCTCTTCTGAAGGCGCCTTCTCTTGGGAGGTAACGTTTGGCCACACACTAGAACTGTTCCTCAAGGCACCAGGTTCACAGCCAGGCTGTTCTGTGGGGGCATCCTTGTAAGGCCCTGAAGTTTTCTTGAGATTGATGTGTTGGGTGATAGACTTTGTCCAGATCTTTGCTGACAGTCCAGACCTCTCTGAGCTGCCCTCAGGTTCACAGGCCTTGACAAAGGTGGGTCTGAGGGAAATACCTCCCATGAGGGCCTCAGTGATCACATTTGATGGCTCCGACTCTCCCAGGTCACTCTGCTTGCAGCTTGCCTCTGTGAGCTCGGCTTCAGGATCCCATCCTGAAACAATCCCAACCACAGCATTACTACTTCTGCCACACAAAGCCTCCCCAACCCTGCTGAGGGCCCTGGCCACACTTTGTAAGGCAAGTGGCCTGTTCCTAACATTTGGCCCCATTTCCAAGGGGAAGTTTCTTATTTGGTGTCCTGATGACAAAAGGGTGCAGGGCTGTGCTCCCACACCATCCAAAACTGCATCATGGGTTCTGATTTTTCCTCCTCCCACTAAACTCTCTACCTTTCAAGGCTCCCAATTTTGGCTCAAGAATCAGATGAGAAACCCTAATGTGGAACTGATCTGAAAGACAGCAAGGTTGGGGGCGGTGGCTCACACCTGTAATCCCAGCACTTTGGGAGGCCAACGCAGGAGGATCACAAGGTCAGGAGTTCAAGACCAGGCTGGCTAACATGGTGAAACCCACCTCTACTAAAATACAAAAATTAACTGGGTGTGGTGGCGCATGCCTGTAATCCCAGCTACTCAGGAGGCTGAAGCAGAAGAATCGCTTGAACCTGGGAGGCAGAGACTGCAATAAGTTGAGATCGTTCCACTGCACTCCAGCCTGGGCAACAGAGCAAGACTCTGTCTCAAAAAAAGTTTGAAGCTAATACAGAAAAACCCATCTGAGAGACAGAACAAGAGAGAAAGAAGAGAGTTCTGATGCTGTCAACAGATCTTCTGGATATAGCCATATATGATGCCTCCTTACTCTTTGCTTCAGCTAATTTGAGCTGCGTTTTTGGTCACCTGGAACCAAAACACACCTGTCTACTACAGTGTGTGAGAGTTCATGTAAAGTACAAATGTGAGAACGAGGACATGAGGAACCCCAAACCAGAGCCCTGTGCTCCCGTGTTCCAGTCCAGCATGTACCTCCAGTGTGCTGTGAATCTGCCCATAGCCCCCCTTTACCTCTCTTGTCCAGCACCTGAGTCAGATCCTTCACCAGCACAGCAGCTTCTTCTCCGTTCTTGGGGCTCTGGGCACCTACCCAGGCTTGGATCTCGGGGGGCAGCGCACCCAGGAACTGCTCCAGCACCAGCAGCTCCAGTATCTGCTCCTTGGAGCGCACCTCAGGCTGCAGCCACTGACAGCACAGCTCTCGGAGCTGGGCCAGGGCCTCATGTGGACTGGATGCCTCCTCATAGCGGAAGTGCCGGAAGCGCAGGCGTGCAGCCTCAGGGTGAGCGATATGGTCATGGCTGGATTCTTGGCCCTGGAGAAGGCTGGCTTCCTCCTCCTCCTCTACCTTCACTTGAAGGAAGCTGTCCTCTTCCCATGGTACTGGGCTCAGGGAGTGCTTGGGGAGGGCCATCGGGCAGCGGTGCTCAGGGATACAGAGGATGCTGGAGCCTTGGACCTGAGCCTGCAGGAATGTCAGAGCTTCATCATCACATGGAACCTGGGGCCCTGCCTCATGCCTACAGAGCATGGGAAACAGAGGCTTCGGGCCTGTAAGATGTGAAACACTCTCACAGAGACATAGACAATCATCAAAATTAGGACAGCACCCACTTGGTGCTGAGCAGTGTCCTCAGTTACACTACTGCTTGCATGTAGACTCATTTAAAACTTACAACAAACTCGGGAGGTGGGGACTTTCTACCCATTTTATGGATGTAAATACAGATAACACAAGAGGAAAAGACTTGCCCAAAGACCCTCAATTAGTGAAAGGTTAGCAGAGAGGCTAACCTACAAACCCAGGCAAACCTACAGCCAGCCTGTTTAAGGCATGCTCCTCCCCCACGAAGCCAAGTCTTTCTCCTGTGTCTCACATTCCCTAGGTAGGCACGTGGTCATTCTCTCACTTTATCTGCTAATTATTTTGTAGTGTTCGAGACTGATACTTACATAATTGACTTTCAGCCTTTCTTCTTTTCTTTTCTTTTTTTGAGATGAAGTCTCACTCTGTTGCCCAGGCTGGAGTACAGTGACACAATCTCGGTTCACTGCAACTCCGCCTCTCGGATCCAAGCGATCCTCCTGCCTTAGCCTCCCGAGTAGCTGGGACTACAGGCGCCCAACCACAATGCACAGCTAATTTTTGTATTTTTAGTAGAGACGGGATTGCACCATGTTAGCCACAATGGTCTCAATCTCCTGACCTTGTGATCCACCCGCCCTGGTCTCCCAAAGTTCTGGGATTACAGCATTCGCCACAGCACCTGGCCAGCCTGTCTTCTTTTCTAATGCACATATTTAAGGCTATACATTTCTCTCTAAACACAGCTTCAGCTGTACACCACAAGCTTGATATGTTGTGTCTTCATTATCATTTAGTTAAAAATATTTTCTAATTTCTGTTACACTTTCTACTTTACCCATTAATTACTTTTTAAAATTTATTTTATTTTTTTGAGACAAAGTCTTAGTCTGTCACCCAGGCTGGAGCGCAGTGGCGCAATCTCGGCTGACTGCAACCTCCGCCTACTGGGTTCAAGCAATCCTCCTGCCTCAGCCTCCTGAGTAGCTTGGACTACAGGTGTGCACCATCATGCCAGGCTAATTTTTGTATTTTTAGTAGAGATGGGGTTTCACCATGTTGGCCAGGCTGGTCTCGAACTCTTGACCTTCAATGATTTGCCTGCCTTGGCCTCCCAGAGTGCTAGGATTACAGGTATGAGCAACCGTGGCCAGTCCCATTGGTTATTTAGAACTCTTCTGCTTTATTGCCAAACAGTTGGGGATTTTCCAGTTGTCTTTTTATTACTGATGTCTAGTTTAAGTCTACTGTGGTCAAAAAACATACTACGATGGGTTTTGATCATTTAAAATTTGCTGAAACTTGGTTTGTGATCCAGTGTATGGTTAATTTTGGTTAATGTTCCATGCATATTTGAAAATAATGCAAAGCCTTCTTAGCTATGACACCAAAAGCGTTAAGTGACAAAAGAGAAAATAAAACTCAACTTCATCAAAATTAAAAGCTTTTGTGATGTGAAGGACCACATTAAGAAAGTGAAAAAGCAGGCCAGGTGCAGTGGCTCACACCTGTAATCCCAGCACTTTGGGAGGCCATGAGGTCAACAGATCAAGACCATCCTGGCCAACATCCCGTCTCTATTTAAAAAGCAAAAATTAGCTGGGCGTGCTGGTGTGTGCC